GAACTTCCAGAATATCTAACAGAAGCAGCAAGAGCAGACATATTTTTCTGGTTACTGATCTTTGGAGAAAAAGTTTTCAGTTTTCACCAATAAATATGATGGTAACTATGGGTGTTTTCATATAGGCCTTCTTTTTTATTATTAAAAAACTCACAGTGTTTACTATTTGACGAATACTCTTCTAGGACCTTTACAATATTAACTCATTTAATTTTCATAACAACCTTATGAAGTAGATATTTTGGCTATACCCATTTTACAGATGAGACAATTGAGGCAGACATTAAGTATCTAATATTACATAGTTACTAAGTGACAGAATACCTAAAGTCTAGCTCCCCAGACTGTTATCAATCACTAAACCAGTGACTAAACTTTTGCCTTCAGGATCCTTTTATATGCTTCAGAATTATGGGGGACCTTAAAGGAATTTTTGTTTACACAAGTTAAACGTATCAATATTTAACATATTAGAAATAAAAACTGAAAAGATGTTAAAACATTTGTGTTAATTTGCTTAAAAATAACAGCAAACTCATTATACGTTAGCACAAAAATATTTTATAAAAAATAACTATTTTCTAACACAAAAATATATTTAGTGAAGAGAAGGTCATTCTTTTACATTTTTGCAAATCTACATAGTGTTTGATTGAAAAGAAAAAAACCTGGATTCTCAAATAAATATCTATATGAGATTTAAAAAATTTTAACAGACAATTGTTCATATTATATCAAATCAGGTCAAGTCCTGTTTCTGACAGGATATTTACAATAAGAAATCTGAAATTTTATCAATGAATTTATACTAAAATCCATTGGTATATCTCTTGCTCTCATTCAATCATTTTATAATTCATAATTTTGTAATACCAATCATTAGTGATTTGAAAAATATTCACTAAAATACACATTACACATTACTAGTATATTCATTTTATTTATTTATTTATTTATTTTTAAATATATTTTATTGATTTTTTACAGAGAGGAAGGGAGAGGGATTGAGAGTTAGAAACATCGATGAGAGAGAAACATCGATCAGCTGCCTCCTGCACACTCCCCACCGGGGATGTGCCCGCAACCAAGGTACATGCCCTTGACCGGAATCGAACCCGGGACCCTTGAGTCCGCAGGCCGATGCTCTATCCACTGAGCCAAACCGGTTAGGGCAGTATATTCATTTTATATTAAAAAATCCATTCACATCACCACTGATCTCTAAGAAAAGTCCTTAATTATTGCAAGGCTGTTAAGCTCATGGTGGTAGATGTAGGTTTTCCAAATTTCTAATTTTTGTTTGTATAAGGTTCTTAAAATGCATGAGTAAAAGCCCAATCCAAAGTAAGAGATAGATAAATTAATCTGTTATATGTATTTAAAAAGTATTTTGTCCCATTTGACCCAGTGTTCCCACTTCTAGGAATATATCCCAAGACGCTAGAAGCAGCAATCAGAAAGGATATATGCACCCCTATGTTCATAGCAGCACAATTCACCATAGCTAAGATTTGGAAACAGCCTAAGTGCCCATCAGTAGATGAATGGATTAGAAAACTGTGGTACATCTACACGATGGAATACTATGCTGCTGTAAAAAAGAAGGAACTCTTACCATTTGCAACAGCATGGATGGAACTGGAGAGCATTATGCTAAGTGAAATAAGCCAGTCAATGAAGGAAAAATACCACATGATCTCACACATTCATGGATAATAGAGACCATTACAAACTCTTGAACAATAATAGATACAGAGGCAGAGCTGCCTCAAACAGATTGTCAAACTGCAGCGGGAAGGCTGGGGAGGGTTGATGGACACAGACACCAAAGGGGTGAGGGCATGAGTGGGGGGGGGTGGAGGGGCAATGTGGGGATAAGGACATATATGTAATACCTTAATCAATAAAGAAAAAAATTTAAAAAAATAAAAAGGTAAAAAAAAGTATTTTGGAAATTTTTTATTCATAAGAAAAAAATGACTGATGGTTACCAGAGGGGAGGGCGATGGGGGGCTGGGTGAGAAAGGTGAAGGGATTACGAAGAACAAATTGGTAGTTACAGAATAGTCATGGGGATATAAAGCACAGCATAGGGAATACAGTCAATAATATTGTAATAACTATGTATGGGGCTAGGTGGATACTTGAAGTATTACCTGAACTACGTTGTAAAGTATATAATTGTCTTACCACTATGCTGCACACCTGAAACTAATACAAAATAATATTGAATTTACACTGTAATTAAAAAATTTTAAAAGGATAAATGAAAAGAATCAGAAATGTATTAAATATATAAATGCAAATTGAACTGTTTGAAGGTGCAAATAGTAGCCTACTGCATGCACTTTTTTTACCTTGCTTTTTCTTACTTATCCCTATGGTGACATGAATTTTTAGTGTCTACACTAAAAATGATGTGATGGCGAACCTATGACACGCGTGTCAGAGGTGACACGTGAACTCATTTTTTGGTTGATTTTTCTTTGTTAAATGGCATTTAAATATATCAAATAAATATCAAAAATATAAGTCTTTGTTTTACTATGGTTGCAAATATCAAAAAATTTCTATATGTGACACGGCACCAGAGTTAAGTTAGGGTTTTTCAAAATGCTGACACGCCGAGCTCAAAAGGTTCGCCATCACTGGTCTACCCTGTGGTTGTTGAAACCAGAAAGATTAAGAAATATCAAGTAGGACAGCAGCATCAGGGTAGCATAAGTTGTTTTTATTTTCTTACTTTTTATTACAACTCATTAGATTTTGCTTAACTGAACAAAATTGCCTCTGCACATTATACCAAGGGACATGGAAGTTTTCTAACCCACCTTTGCATCCAAAAATAAGCAAATAAGAATTTGGTAAGGACTGCGGATCCAGGGGAGTCAATGAGGATGCCCCATTCTAACTCACTGTGATGTGTGTGTGGGGGGGGCGGGGCAGGGGGCGACCTGGAGAGTGCAAACCTGGGCAGATGCCCACTGGCAAGACAATTTGTGGAAGTCCGGGTAGGCTGAGAGGAGATTCCAGCATGCAATTGATGCAGGGGAGAGGCAAGATTGGGTGCATAGAAAAGGGAGAAACGCATTAGGCAGTCCCCCCGTCCCAGGGCAACACTGCTGCAGAAGTGATCACTCCAGTAGAATAAGTGTAATACTGTGACCTCATCCACAAAGAAGGAGGAAAGTGAAAGTGATGAGTGACTGCTTTGTTACCCCAAATGTGAGAGTGTGGCTGGAGAAACCCATTTCTATCCTGCAGCACCCACATTTCTGAGGAGGGCCCTCCATGACAGGGGTGGTGGGGGAGAAAGGGAAGGAATCTGATAAGAACAGCAAAGGGAATTGGACACAGTTCCTGTTGTCAGCTTCAAGACTTCAGCAGGAAGTCTAACCACAAGCCTCTAGGAGTACCCCCCATTTGAAGATATACCCACAGAGCCCACGGGCACTACCAGAGCCCCAAGTACTAAATGAACACCTAACCCTATTTTGCTGCTGGCTCCTTGTGTGTGCTTCCAAATGCATCTGCAAGAACAAGCTCCGATAGAAAAGGAGCGTGCTCAAAAAAATAGGTCAAAGTCAACAGACAAGGAAGGACCACAAACTTAGCTATTGCACCACCTTTGGGAATATAAAAGACAGGTTTCCAATAACCAGCCTGGTGCATTGCAAGGGGGGGTGGGAGGGAAGCCCTAAAAACAGCCCTAGCTGGTTTGGCTTCGTGGATAGAGAGTCAGCCTGTGGACTGAAGGGTCCTGGGTTCGATTCCAGTCAAGGGCACATACCCGGTTGTGGGCTCAACCCCCGCAGTGGGGGACATGCAGGAGGCAGCCTATCAATGATTCTCTCTCATCATTGATGTTTCCATCTCTCTCTCCCTCTCCCTTCCTCTCTGAAATCAATAAAAATATATGTATTTTTAAAAAGCCCTAAAAACATAGTTAAGTTGGCATCTTCTACTTCAAATGAGAAAGCAGAAGTACATACATACAAAATATTTAAAAATCAAGAAATACGGCATCATAAAAGTAATTATTATTATCTAGAAACCAACTTAAAGGCCTAAAATATTATAACCTAATTAATAAAGTATTCAAAATAGCTGGTATAAAAAAATTCAACAAGCTATAGAAATTCAGAAAAACAATGAAATCAGGAATAGAATGAATAAACAGAAGGCTTTCTTTACCAAAGAGATTTAAATAATAAAAAAGGACCAAACAGAAAATCTGGATCTGAAGAATTCAATAAATGAGATAAAGAGTGATGGGTAGACCAGATAAGAAAAGAATAAATGACTTGAAATATAGAAATAATAAAGTTTGATTAGGAGAAGGAACTAAGATTTTTAAAAAGCAAGGAAGGCCTATGAGAGCTATTGTTTTCATTGAGAAAGGCAAATATTTGATAAATGGGGTTCCAGAAGGTTAAGAGAAGGAAAAGTTGGCAGAAAGTTTACTTAAATAAATAATAGATGAGAACTTCCCAAATGTGGGGAAGGACTTGCACATAGAAGTCCATAATTCTAATAGAACAGTCTATTATATCAATGCAAAAAGACCTCCAAGAATATCCTTATAAAACTGTCAAAAATCAATAATAACAAGAGTATTATAGGTAGGTGAGGAGCCATTACAATTGTTACTACAGCAATGCATGGGGAACCATGAGAGACTTCTATGAGCAATTATATGCCAACCAATTGGATAACCTAGAAGAAATGGATAAATAAAAAGAATCTTGAAAAATGCACAACACTAGAAGTATCATGCTTCCTCACTTCAAAATATATTATAAAACTATAGTAATCAAAATAATGTGGTACTGGCCCAAAAACAAACACATAAATGACTAAAACAGAATTTAGATCCCAGAAATAAACCCAGGCTTATATGGTCAATTAATCTATGACAAAGGAGGCAAGAATATACAATGGGGAAAAGAGAATCTCTTCAATAAGTGGTGTTGAGAAAAATGGACAGCTACTTGCAAAAAAAAATGAAACTAGACCACTTTCTTACACCACATACAAAAATAAATTTAAAATGTATTAATAGTAGACTGTAAACCATAACATTTCAAGAAGAAACTATAGGCAATAAACTTTGACACTGGCCTGTGTAATATTTTCTTGGATGTCTCCCCAGGCAAGAACAATAAAAGCAAGAATATACAAGATTACAAAAAACTGCCCTGACAGGTGTGGCTCTGTTGTTTGAGCATCGTCCCACACATCCAAAGGTCACTGGTTCGATTCCCAGTAGGGGTGTGTATAGGAGGCAGGGCACATACCCAGGTTGTGGGTTTGATCCCCAGTAGGGGTGTGTACAGGAGGCAGCCATTTGATGGCCCTCTCTCACATAGATGTTTCTCTCTCTTCCTCTCTCTCTAAAATCAATAAAAATATATTTTAAAAAGATTACATAAAACTAACAAACAGTGAAGGAAAACATCAATAAAATGAAAAGTCAACTCACTGAATGGTAGAAAATATTTGCAAATAATATACTCAATAAAGGGTTAATATAAAAATATATAGGGCGCTCATAAAATTCAACATAAAAGACAATCAATCCAATTAAATATGAACAGAGGATCTGAATAGACATTCTTTGAAAGAAGACATACAGATGGCCATCAGATACTTAAAAAGATACTCAACATCACTGATCATCGGGGAAATGCAAATAAAAACCACAGTGAAATATTACTTCACACCTGTCAGATTGGCTGTTATAAAAAATAAAACAAATAACAAGTATTGGCAAGGAGGTGGAAAAAAGGGAACCCCGTACACTCTTGGTTAGATTGCAAACTGGTGCAGCCACTATGGAAAACAGTATGATGATTCCTCAAAAAACTAAAAGTAGAACTTACATAGGATCCAGCAATTTAACTACTGAGTATCCATCAGAAGAAAAAAAACCCCAGTAATTTGAAAAGACATGTACAACCCTTATGTGCAGGTTTACTTATTTATTCTGAATTTTGAATTTGTCATCTGCCAAATAGGTATAATTTCTTCCTGAAAGGTTTACTGTAGAGAATAAATAATTAAAATTAGTCATGGTAGACAACTTGTAGAGTACCTGGCACAGAGCTGATGCTCAATAATAGTAGCTATTTTTAATATTGATAAATATATATGACCATACTTCTAGGTAAGATTATCCTGGTAGGTACCAAATTTCTGTGTTGCTATGAATCATAATATTAATATTATTACTATATTAATATTACCTGGGGAAGGTTTGTGTCCAAATATGCCATTGAAGAATGCAGGCATTCGAATGCTGCCACCAATATCAGAGCCCACACCAATCACTGAGCAGGCAGCTCCCAGGGTACAGCCCTCACCACCTATGGGAAATGCAAAATACTCCTTTATAATAAATAAATTAGATTACTATTTGCAAATAATGGTTATTACTATATTTGCTCATATATTTACCTTTACCAGAGATCTTTATATTCATACTGGAGGCCGGGTGCATGGATTTGTGCACTGGTGGGGTCCCTTGGCCTGGCCTGCGGGGATTGGGCCGAATCCATGCACCAGGCCTCCGACATCCCCTGAGGGGTCCCAGATTGCGAGAGGGCACAGACCAGGCCGAGGGACCCCACCAGTTCAAAAATCCATGCACCGGGACTCTAGTATGCATATAAGATCTTTGGTTAATCTCTCCCCACCCTCCACCCTCCCTGCTTCCCTCTGAGATTCATCAGTCTGTTCCATGTTTCCATGCCTGTTCGTTGAACGTCTGCCCCCTGGTGGTCAGTAAGCATCATAGCGGTTGAACAGTCAAATGGTTCAAAGGTCGAATGGTCACTTAGGCTTTTATATAGATGACTTTGAGCTACTTTCTAGTATACCTTCATTAGATTTTATAAGTTGAGGAAACTGACGCACTGACTGCACCTTCATTATGTTATCAAGGTCACAGAGCAAAAAACTGTCAATGTTCTCTTTGGCTCTAGCTTAAGCACCATATTTTACTAACCCACATATATGCCTTTAGGATTGATAAAAGCCATGTAAATTCTAGTCTCTAATATACTCTCTGATATTTTCCTCCTACATCACTTGTTGCTCCTTCTTAATCTCCTTTGCTAGATATGCCTCTCTTTTTAACCTTGAAAATGACAAAGCTCTATCATGAGCCCCAATTCATGTTCATCAAACATACACCTTGTTTTTTTTGCATCCATTCTAATAGGTTATAGTACACTAGATACTGTACCATGCTTATGATGATAACTTCTAAATTATTTTAAACTCAGATTACTACCCTGTCTTATATAGGCTACTTGACAACTCCATTGGGTATCTTACAAACATCTTCAACATAACATGTTCAAAGTGGTATTCTTAAATCATGCTGCCTCCATTTGTCCTTCTTCTTCCCGTTTTCTCCATCTGAATGAATGCCTGTACCATCTCTCTAGTCAGAAACCCTACTGATTTTTACTTCTCTTTTTACCTTTACACCCACCTCTCCATTACCAATCTATCATCAAGTCATGGCCGATCCAGTCTACCTTTAAAATATATCTTGTGTCCCATCTACTTTTCTCCATCTACACAAACACTAGTTGAATCCACTATCATTTATTTCCTGGACAACTAAAATAGACTTGTAATTTCTCTATTTGCTTCAGCTTTTATTCCTCTACATTATCTGACCTGGACAAAACTTTTTAATTTCATCACTAACTCCTCTCTGTCTTACTCACTACACTGGGTTTCTTTCAGTTCACTGAACACACTAAACATGTTCCCACCTCAGGCTTTTGCACTTTCTGTATTCTGTAATTAGGATTATTTCTGCTTGACCCACTACCCCCACATCCACTGAATGGTTAGCTGTCTCTGATCCTCTGGATTTCATCATAAAAATCACCTCCTTAGAGAGGATTTCCATGACCATATCTGCTATATTCCTGCATTTAGTGCAGTTCCTGGCATACAGCACAGTTATCAATGCTTAGTATCCTTAGAGGATTTTATCACCTTTGTCTCAGGAAGATGAAATTCTAAAGTTAAACAAGCTTCGCTAACTCACGTTTTTCTCTCTTTCCCTTGTGCCCTCTCTCTCTCTCTACACACACACACACACACACGCACGCACGCACGCACGCACGCACACGCACACACGCACCAATAGTATGAATGTTCATTGCCTACATTGCGCTTCATCAATCTATGACAAATTCTGTAATTGCCTTTACCATAAACACCTATAACTTTTCCAGAGGTTTGTGCAATAGTATCTGTACCCCCTCCTCAGTGACTCACTAACAAATGTTATACTCACCAGAACTTCCACCTACAATATGCCGTAAATCATACGGGTTGTTGGATCGGCCATAGACCTTGTTACTGGATTCATACCACATGCACAGCTCACTACAGTTGGTTATGCCCAGAGGAATGGCACCAGCTTCCTTCAGATATGCCACTACAGTGGCATCTGTTTTGGAAATGGCATTACGACGATTCACAAGGCCAGAAGAATTAGGCATTCCTGTAAAGTCCACAAGAAAAAGAAGTTAAGCCCTAACCAGTTTGGCTCAGTGGATAGAACATTGGCCTGCGGACTAAGGGGTCCCGGGTTTGATTCCAGTCAAGGGCACATGCCCGGGTTGCGGGCTCAGTCCCCAGTGGGGGGTGTGCGGGAGGCAGCCAGTCGATGGTTCCCTCTCATCATTGATGTTTCTATCTCTCTCTTTCTCTCCCTTCCTCTCTGAAATCAATAAAAATATATTAAAAAAGAAAAAGAAGTTAAAATGTTATTATATAAAAATAGGAACAATTTACTGAGCACCTTCAATGAACCAACCCAGCATTGTGGGTGATTTGCTTAGTACTGACAGGTGATATGACTTAATAGAAAGTGCACAGACTTTGGAATCAGAACTAAGTTCAATTTATATCTCTGTAGCTTACCAACTCTACAAACTTTGGGAAAGTCTTTTAACTTTTCTGATTCTCAATTTACATAGGAATAAATGAGATATTGAATGTAAAGTAAGTGAACATATTTAATAACTAAAAGTGATTAATACAGCTCAGCTGGTGTGGCTCAGTGGTTGAGCATAGATCTATGAACCAAGAGGTTACCAGTTCGATTCCTGGTCAGGGCACATGTCCGGATTTTGGGCTTGATCCCCAGTAGGGGGTGTGCAGGAGGCTGCCGATCGATCAATATTTCTCTCTTATCGATGTTTCTATATCTCTATCCCTCTCCCTTCTCCTCTCTCTAAAATCAATAAAATAAAATAAAAATTTAAAAAAGAACAGTAGCCCTGACCGGTTTGGCTCAGTGGATGGAGCGCCGGCCTGCGGACTGAGGGGTCCCAGGTTCTATTCCGGCTAGGGGCATGTACCTTGGTTGCAGGCACATCCCCGGTGGGAGGTGTGCAGGAGGCAGCTGATCGATGTTTCTCTCTCATCGATGTTTCTGACTCTCTATCCCTCTCCCTTCCTCTCTGTGAAAAATCAATAAAATATATATTTAAAAAAAATAAAAATAAAATAAAAAAGAACAGTACCTTCTAGCTGGAAAGCTTCTTTGACTGTCAAAGGAACCCCAAGGAAGGGCCATTTCTTTTCCAGGGTGGCATCATCTTCCACCTTCTCTGCAAGCTTTTTATCTACATCATGAGCCTCCTTCTTAGCTGCCTCAAACCTAGAAAAAATGGAACAGAGCTACATAAAGCTGTGGACCTTGAGAAAGAATATACTTCAAAGAAAGGCTCCTGATGGCTAACTGAGCTCAAATTTGAAAAACAGAGCCTAGCAGCCATTTCTACACAGGAGCCTCTCATGCAAACTGCACTTTACAGAGAAACCTGCACTGAACTACTGCCTCTGCACTAGACTGCCTTCCTGCACTGTGTTTCTGCCATCTGAGCAAGCCCTTGTGGAGAAGTTCCTGGAATCCTATTTCAACCAATAGGACAGAGGCTTTCCCTGTGCAGTTATATCCTCATCAGTATCTTTACCAACTAACTAATCAGAGAGGCTCCATTCTGACCAATCAGGATAGTGCTTTTTGGACCAATCTAACTGGGAAGATTATAGTCAGAGTCTATTTCAATCAAAAAATCTAAATAAGCATAACTATTTATAACCATAGATTTTTCTGCATATATAGAGCTAGGTCCAAGGTAAATTCATTAGCATTTGTCAAGCAAAGTCAAATACCCCAGGGTATTGCACATACCTATAGGCATCTGGCCACAATTTTGGCCTTGGAGACATGAAATATGACAACCATCTTACAACAATCAGAAGATCTAGCCTGAAAATAAGTCTGACAATCCAGGATATCCAAGGCAAAGGACTGAATACATAAGTTATTGATGATATTTTTCAGTTGCTGAGTTAAGTATGTGGCTAACTACCTAAGGACTTCCTGTTTAATGGCATAATATATTTTCCTTATTGTTTTCAGTCCTTTTGAGTTGGGTTTTCTGTTATTTGCAGTGAAAAGCGTCTAAACCAGTGGTTCTCAACCTTCCTAATGCTGCGACCCTTTAATACAGTTCCTCATGTTGTGGTGATCCCCAACCATAAAAGTATTGTCGTTGCTACTTCATAACTGTAATTTTGCTACTGTTATGAATCATAATGTAAAAATCTGATATGCAGGATGTATTTTCATTGTTTGCGACCCACAGGTTGAGAACCGCTGGAACTAACAGAGTTGGCAGGGCACTTTTAATTGGGTGGTAGGGACAGAAGCTAGATTTCAGTGTCAGTGTAAATAGGAGATAAAGACTCAGAGAAAATAATTGTTGACTACGTTTTGCAGAAGCTTGCTTATGTGAGAAAAATAAGAGCATTATGACAGCCAGTTAGGTACAGCAAGATATTCATCTGAAAATATTATAATCCGCTCAGCCGTCGTGGCTCACTGGTTGAGTGTCGACCTATGAACCAGGAAGTCATGGTTCAATTCCCAGTCAGGGCGCATGCCGGGGTTGCAGGCCCGATCCCCAGTGTGGGGCGCGCAGGAGGCAGCCAGTCAATGATTCTCTCTCATCATTGATGTTTCTATCTCTCTCTCCCTCTTCTTCCCTCTCTGAAATCAATAAAAAAATATTTTTAAAAATGAAAATATTATAATCTGGCTACTAAGAATACACAGAATCTGGCCACTTAAAGGCACTCTATTAGAGTGGTCAGGATCCAGACTTTGGAGACAGGCTTACCTGGGATGGTTATGTGACCTTTCAAGTAACAATTCCTTAACCCTCCATTTCACCACCTATCCTATATAATGAAAGCCTAATATGCAAATTGACCGAACAGCTGGCGGAACAACCGGTTGCTATGATGTGCACTGACCACCAGGGGGCAGATGTTCAATGCAGGAGCTACCCTAGCCCGCAGGCCCCAGGCAAGC